GGAAAGATCACCAATCAGCATGCTAAGAGCTGGCTGAGATGCTTGTTTAATTGCCCCACATCAGTGAACAGCCAGGGAGTAACCTGATGGGCACAGCCCCTCACATCTGGACTCTCTCGCCTGCTTCCTGCATGTCACACCTCTGAGCAGCCATACTCCAGGCTGTGTGTATGTGCATACCCCGCACCATCTGGATCACCTGCTTGAAGCCACTGGGAAGGCTTAGCCCTGGAGATGCACATCTGCACAGCAGAGCGAGTGAGCTGAGACAGAAGGGCCCGCAGGTGGTGGCTGTGTCACACCTTACAGCTCCTGTAGCATCCCCCAGGAATGTGCACAGCCGCTGTGGGAGTCACCATCAGACAGCCGGGATAATCTGATTTCCTCTGATTTCTTTCTGGGCTGGAATGTTGGAGGCTCCCTACACCCATGAACTCATCAGAACAAAGGTCTAAATTTTTCACAAGAACTTTATTAAAAGAAACAGAGAAAAGAGATACAAAATGCATCACCAGAGGAATGAAAGAATGCATAGCACAGAAGCCTGATCCTCGGGCAACTCCCAGGGCTGGACTGGGCTGGGCGCTAAGGAGGGGAACGGCGGCTCTGGTTTCATCTTCAGCCTCCTCTCTCTCCAGGGCACTCAGCCGACTTCTTGGGACAGTGTGGGCTGCTCTGCCACTTCTCCTTGCACCCACGTGCCTAGCGTCTTTGGGCACAACCCCCCCCCCCCCACTGGCCCCCGAGACACCCACCCAGCACTTCTGGTGGGCTCTTAGTTGACTTTACTCTGCCTTCTCCACCCTTCCAATCAGAAGAATCTGTGTGTCTCCAAAGACCTTTGTTCCTGCCCTGAGGTACTGAATTAAACTGTATTCACAAGCCATTAGGTAAGGCTGGTTCTGCCACCCCAGATCAAATCACCTACTTTCCCAAACCTGCATGTGATCTTGGGTCTTTCTCCTGCTAGAAATGTCTTCTTGGGCACTCTCTCTAGCAGCTGTCTCTCCCAGCTAATGCAAAACTGCTTTCGCCCCAGTGCAGAGGCCTGCATCTCTGCCCCATCTCCCACTACATTTATAGGACAGCTCAGTGTCTCAGCTTCCCTGCCAAACAGTCACACACCAGTCAAACCTTGCCCAGTTCAGGTCCCCAACGCCGTCAACTTCCTTTGAAAGTTTTTCACTTCTTTCTTGGACTTCTGACCCTTTGGAATTCTGTCTCTGCAGTTTTAGAAAATGAAATCATTTTATAGACACAGTAATCAGAAGATGACAGAGAAGGAGAGCTATTCCCTCCCAAACTGTATCTTCTCTAAACTATTAGAAGGTTAGGCCACTCTTGCCATTTTTAACTTTCTCTAAATGTCTATGAACATCAGTCCTTAATGAGCACAGTCAGATTCTCAGCTGGCTTTTAGGAATGGCTGTGAATCTCAGCAAGCTGGCCATTGGTCCCTCCTGCTGCAGTCACCACGTGCTGGTGCTGTTGAAGATGGCTTCTTCACGTAACTGCTGGAAAGCAAAAGACCCCAGCCTCCTCCAGAGGTGGATAGTCCGCAGACAGCAGCTCTACCCAGATGTTCTTAAACTTCTACATCATGGTATTTGTGCACAGCAGGTGTCCATTCAAGCTTATTGATGTCGGGTGAAATTTTCCTAATCAACACCTTGGAGTTGGGCTTTACTGTGTGCAAAATATTTCCCCGAACTTCTCATCCCATCCTTACTTCAACCTTGCCTAGTGGGCATGGTGGCTATTATGACCCCATTGTACTGATGCATAAACCAAGTCTCCGAACTGAAGCAAGATTGCACAGCTCTTTGTGGAAGGAAGAGCCAACACTGAACCCAAGTCTCTGCAACCTTGTCCTCGTTCCCTTCCCAACATAAATAGAAACAAGGCCTCCTTTCTTTCTTCCCTACACAAATAGCATTCTCCCAACTAGTCCACGTACAACCTGGACAACCAAGAACAACTGATCAAGCTAACTGCCATACCCAACACAGAGGGCCGCTAGACATCAAAGATATTTCCTTCCTTCATTAGGATTCCCAAGGCCCAGGTAAAGTGTTGAGGATTTTACTTACAAATTATGCACACAAAAAAAGCTACACTTCTATCCACTTTTAACATTTTGCCAGCATTCTGGACCCTTTCACCCCTACTACTTTAGGAGGAAAATTTAGTATTTGCTCTGTTTTCCAACGCCCCAGGAAGCCACCTGGCCTCTTCATCTCTTTGAGCACTTGTGGGACCTGACTGGGTCATACGTCTGTCCTGGTTCACCAACAAATCCTCTGCCCAAGGCCTCTGTGCATCTCCGGAGAGCTGCTCTTCCAAATTGAGCATGCACAAACTCCTCAAGTATCTCTCCCAGAAGCCCACTCCCCAGACACAAAAGCAGGACACCCTGATCTCATCCCTGCTTTTGACACGACTGTAGTCTTGGGAGACACGCAGTGGACTGTGTCTACAGTGCCCCCTACTGGAACTTTTCCACCAGCCAATATTTTTACACAGCTCACTTGCCTGCTATAGCATTCTGGGGTGGGAAATCTCTGGAATCAGACCACAATCTCATCCCTTTCTAGACATGATTTCATTCCACAGATGTTTACTGAGCACCCATGATGAAATGTCAGGCGCTAACTCTGCAGACAAAACTAAAGGGAAGGCAGGCTCCATCTTGGCCTTCAGGCCACTTCTGCTCGTTGGTTCAGAGGAACCATCACTTGACTTGGTCTGATTTTGCTGGTGAACTCAACAAGATTGCCACCAACGTCTAGAAACTCCTCAGTTACCCCTTCACCTGTGGAGACAGCCTGGCCTCTGCCAACTTTCCTGGGGCAGTTTCAGGTCCAGATGGGCTCAGCTCTGGTGATACTTCTTTCCCGCTGAGCCCTCATGAGGTGGGAGTCTCCTCCCCTGCTCCTGCCTCTTCTCTGAGCCATTTGTGCCAACTACACACCCACTCAACTCCAGCAGATGATTCTCGAAGATCACTTACAGAGGTGTGGTGAAGTAACTATCCAAACATATATGTTATGTCATGGATAAATACTAACGGAAGTAGACTGTGCATCTATGAATAATAGCAGAAAATAACTCACGCAACTCGAAAAAAGAACTCAACCTCCTGCTTTCACAAACTGGAACCTCTATCATCACTCCATTATTATTCGGACCTGCTTTTCTTTTGCTGCTATCACAATGGGATTGTAATTCCCAGTATCTTTTTTGTGCCGTGACTGCATCACGTAACTGCCTCTTCTAGTCTTAATACTCATCATACTCAAGGGTAGAGCTCATTCCCTTAATAGACCACAATCTACTTAGCTGTCACTCTGCGATAAAAGTTTCCAGTTAGTGACTGGGCTATGAAGGGCAGCCACCAATGTCTCTGTGCAGATGTTTTTCCTAATGATTTATTTTCCCAGAATGTATTCCCCAAAGTGAGATAAGACAGTCTTACATGAAAAAAAAAAAAAAAAAAAAAACCTTGTCAAGAATTACCCCACTATCCTCCAGAAAGCATGATGTATAGAGCCAGGAGTCTACATATTGCTCCAGAGCATATTCTGATTTTTTTTGTCTTTTTGAAACAGAGTCTCAGTCACTATGCAGTTCAAGCTGGTCTGGAGCTCACTTTGTAGCCCAGGCTGGCTTTAAAATCAGTGACCCTCCTGCCTCAGTCTCCCAAGTGCTGGGATTACAGGCATGTGCCACCACACGTGGCCAGAAAACTTACTTTTGACAAAAGCAAGCTTTCTGCTTGTTTTCCCATTTTACCGGCCCTTGCCTGGTCCTGTTTCCCCCAGGTGCATAGCTTATTTCACTCTTTTTCCACTTAGGTCTCTCAGTCACAACATACAGTATTTGAGACTCAGCCTTCTTCATCAAATGAGTTCTCTGTAGTTATCTTATTGGCTTTCTTTTAATACTTATTCTTTGCTATGCGTATATTTTTATTTTGATATGCTCGAAGCTGGACATTGAAGATTTTCTTCAGTGCTTCAATAAATAAGAAATGTGCTTCCCAGAAAAGGATTTTCTTTTTCCTACCCCTGGCATTCTGCATTTTTCCTCTGAACCTGCTCTGAATTCCTCTGGTTTCCATGAAGGCTCCACCATCCACGGCCCCTCCACTGACTCCCTTCTGGTCGTCTCTCAACAGCACTCGGCTAGCCGTATCCTCTAGCCTACTCATTCACCTCAGTGCCAGCTCTGCCACCACCTGCACAAAGGCCTGGTGGCCACAGTTAGCTCTAACTGCATCTTTCCCTTGTTGTTGCACCTGCTGGCTTCAGGGTTGATGTCTCAGGAACACTAGCCCCACACTGGCCTCTAGGGTTCCTTAACTTCCCAACCCGTCTACCTTAGATCAACCAAGCAAAGGTTAACATTTCTTGGAAGGAACTCTGCTGAAAAACCAAGGGGGAAACAAACAACAACCAAAAGACTCCTAGAAACGTAAAGGAAACCTAACCAAAGTGTTGCATGGTGGAGATTTTACGTTGAACATAGGTGCTACCCTGGATTAGCTCTGGATGGGAGGGATGCCCCAATACTTGGTTTTTCAGACACCAGCTCTGCAAGGTTGGCTTTTCTGGTTGCCTATTCTCTTCACAGCCTCCAACATTAACACCTACCACCTCTGTTCATGCCTGCACCTGGGCCCACATGAAACCCAAGCTATAATTCCCTGGAGGGCCAATGGCTGCAGCTGGCAGATGTGCCATTGTCATCCGTAGCTATTTGGAGGTCTCAAGGCTCTTGTGACCCCAGGCACCCTGTGCAAATTTGAGGGTAACCAGTTCTTGGTTCCTTCACACAATATCCATAGCTCATCTACCCTTGGTCTTTGTGTGTGTGTGTGTGTGTGTGTGTGTGTGCGCGCGCGCATGGTTCTAAGGAACCCAGGCCCTTCACCCTGTACTACTTCCCCAGCCCTTTTTGAGACAGGGTCTCACTAAGTCTTCCAGTGACTCAGCCTGGGTTTCAATTTACGATCCTCCTGCCTTAACCTCCCAGCGTGCTGGGATTACTGGTCCCTGCCACCATGCCTGGCTCTAGGTCATTCCTATCTCAGAGGACAACAGGTATCTGCCTCTCCAGGACTCCCTCTTGGCTACTCTGCTAGGAATGATTTTGAAGAATGCAAATCAAGACACACTTACAAATCCCAGAAATCTAAACTATATAGCAGTAGCCTCAACAGCAGCACACAGCCGCATACAAAAAGCAAGAGGCTCAGCTGACATCCAGCACCTTCTGCCCCACTGCTTTCGGGAGCTATGGTCATATCACAGTTGGTCCCCACCCCTGCACATCAAAAAAGGGGTTAGTAGTTCAGTATTTCATGCTGAAACACTGCCACCTCCTGCCCCCCAGGAAATGCCCTAAACCAATATATCCTGCCCCACCCCTCCCCCACCCTGGCTTCTCTAACTGTCAGGCGAACGGACCCGAAAGACGTGGATGGTCCCATTACTTAGAGACACAACCAGATACCTGCCATCTACCATGGTGGTCACCCGGGGCTTTTCCAAGCCATGGAAGGCTGTCAGGAAATCGCCAAGAAGTGACCCCTTTGGGTCCAGAATCACCACCTTGTTGACCTCTCGGATTGTCAGAAAGATGTAGCCCTTCTTATCCACAGACAGGGACCCTGGCTGGCAGCCATGCAGGCCAGGCCCCTTGTACTCCCCTATCACCTGGCCCAGCCCATCACAGACCACCACACTATTCTGCTGCCAATCAGACCCCACAAAATTGCCCTGAGGGCTGGTGGTCAGGAACACCAGTGCCCGCTGGCCCCGGCTGGCCTTGCCCCCAGGGATGAACCGGGTAGCCAGGCTGCCTTCCATGTTGTACACCTCCACGTGGCCTGCTACACTGACAGCCACCCGGTCCCTGCTGGGCAGCGCAGTCACTGCATGGCTTGCCTGGCCAAGGCTCAAGGCCCGGCGCCACTGCACCTCACCACCAGGGCTGATAAGATACAGCCTTGCACCTGCCGAGAAGGCCACTGCATTTTGGAGGGCAGCCACGCTGCATGGGGAGCAGCCCTCAGGGATTGGCATTGTGCCTTTGTAGTCGCCATTGAGGGAAAAGCGTTTTAGCGCTCTGTTCTGCTCATCTGCTACCAGGATCTCCCGCGGGCCATAGGGACAGAGACCAGTGATGCGAGGGGAACGCCTGTCTCCGGGCATCCGCGTGGGGAAGGTACAGTAAAAGATTGGCCTGGGGAGGAGGCCTGAGCCATCCAGGTTTGGCCCCAGGGCAGGGCTGGGCTCACGGGAGATGGATTTGCACCTGCCTTTAAACTTCTTCTTCTTGTTGGCTCTGCCACCCCTCTCCAGCTGGGGTCCTGAATCTTCCTGGGGCAACTGAGCTTTATCCTCTTTGGGGCTTATGGTTCCTTCCCGACCCTGGGGCTGGACTCCACTCTGCCCTTCTGGCTTAGCTCCAACTTCTCGCTGGCTCTGATTTTCAAGCTCCCTCTCAGTACCCACTCCATCTTTCCCACCATTCTTCTCTGTCTGCTGCTCCTCAAAAGACAGCTGAAGAAGACGGCAGTTCTTGTCCAAGAGCCCAGGGTGGAGCTCAAGCTGGGGCAGTAGGCAGGGGGTTGGCCCTGGGGTCCAGGGACAGCCCTGCAGCTGCTGGAGTCTCTGGGTGATGGCCCCCTCCAGCGAGAGAATCTCAGCCTCTCGCCCCAGGCTGAGCACCCGCCGGGCAAAGGCAGTCGCTGCCTTGGCCACCTGCTCCTTATCCTCCAGCTTGGCTAGCCTCTCCCGGGCAGCCTCCTCGGCAGCCTCCACATGGGCCCGCAGCTGTCCTAGCACCTCCTGCTTTTGGGCCAGCAGGGCCCGGAGGACCCCTTCGGCTGCCTCCTCTACCTGCATCCCCACCCTGGCGGCCTGCTCCCGCAGCCGAGCCAGGGCTTCCTTCTCCACTACCCGAGTGGTCTCCAGCTCTACCAGGTTGCTGTCCACGCCTGCCAGCAGCTCCTCCAGGCCAGGTCTCCGGGCACTCACTGCTTCGGCCAACGGTAGGCAGGGGTGGTCCAGGTGGGGATCCAGGCGGCACTCACGGCACAGCAGCTGGGAGCAAGGCTGGCATAGGAAGCGCAGAGCCTCCCCAGGGTGCTGGGGACACTGGGCCGCCTGGCGCTCCCGGGCTTCCTCATCGTACCACCCTGCCCTGTAGCCCACCAGGTCTACTACACGGTGTGTGTGGGTCTGGCGAGTGCAGCGATGCCCGTCAGCACAGGCCTGGCACAGGTCATCAGCACAGTCTAAGCATCGGGCTGTGGCTGGACCCCCGGCACTGGTGCCCCCCACCAGTGGACACAGCGCACAGGCAGGCTTCCCTGCACGCAGGTCCCCACAAGCCCGGGCCTTTACCAGGTCCAGGAGCCCATTGACAAAGAAGTTGGTCTTGAAGGCAGCCACGCCAGCAGGCGGCACAGGTACTGTCTCCCGGCACTCAGGGCAACGGACATAGCCGCTGTTGGCCAGCTGGGCCAGGCAGTCCTGGCAGTAGGTGTGCAGGCAGGGCAGAGTCTTGGGTGTGTGCAGCTGCTCCAGGCAGATTTTACAGGCCAGAAAGTCACTGCTCAGGGCCTCCAGCAGGGAGGTCGGGGAGCCCTGGGAAACCATGCTGTGAAGCAGGGGTCAGGTCAGGGTTCAGAGGTCAGAGGACCTCTAAGCCATCCCTTGCCTTAACCCTCTCCCAGGTCTGGGATCTTACCTGGTCAGGAATTTCCTTCTGGCTTCCTGGTGACTTAGAGCTTGCTCTGGCCCTAGGGAGCCACCCAGTTCTTCCTCCTCTTCCTTCCCAGGTACATTCAGCAACCGTGAACCTGGCTGTGTCAGGTCTGTGAGAAATGAAGGACTAAGAAGCCCTTGGCCTTAGAGAGCAGAAAACCTAGCTGACAGGCCTGTGGCAGGGGTGGCCTGAGCCTCCCTGGGTGAACTGGTTCCAGGGTCCTGTTGGGTGTCCTGGGAGAAGAGGGCCAGGTGAGCAGTCACCTTGTTCCTGCAGTTCAGGCAGGGTCTGGCAGTCCTATAAGGAGCCCTGACTCCCCTGGTCTGACCAGGGCAGCATGAGGGTCGGGCTGCTACCCCTACATTTTCAGAAATGGATTTTGGGCTCCTCTTCTGAAGTTCTTCCATTTTAGCCTTTCCTGCCTAATGCATTCCAGAAACTTCTGAAGGAGAGGAGTTGTGGGCTCCCAGCACAGGGACTGAGGAGAGGGATCTGATGGTTTTCCCCATCAGAAAGAGAGAGATCTCCACACCAGAGAGAGATCTGATGGTTTTCCCCTTTCCTGGGGCTGGGGGATGGGGACTCGGAAATGAGGGAGGTCTTGGGGGGAAGCTGGGGGGGGGGCGAGGACGGGAAGGGTGCCCACTTCCCGCTCTCCTGCTGGCCCTTCTCTCCTCTCCCTTCCTCTTTTCTTCTCTGCCCTCCTTTCCTCTACCTCACCCTCTCTCCTCCTCCCACTTCTTGAGTCCTCCCCCCTACAGTTTGGCCCTTGTTTTTTAGTTGTCTCCACCCCTGCTTACCCAGCCAGACTGCCCTAGGGGAGCCAGAGGGACCCCTGCGGCCTGGACGCCCGCAGTTGCTGACAGCCAGTAAGAGAAACAAAACTGAAACTAATTGTACTTGTGGTGCAACTTCCGTCCCTGCCCGGGACACCGCGAGCACAGGCTCAGGCCCCGCCCTCTCTCCACCCTGCCAGGATCTCTTCGGAACTCCCAGTCCTGTGAGAGCATGCGTGCAGACGTGTGTGTGACTATGTGTGCATGCGTGTCTGTGTGTGTGTGTGTGTGACTGCGTGCGTATGTATCTGAACGTCTGTGTCTATGTGTGTGTGTGTGCGTACATGTGTGTGTGGGTCTATTTGTGCGTGTGTGTTTGTGTGTATCGCAAACAAGGCAACGCCTGAAGATCTGCTCCTGTTCTGCAGTGATTAAGAGGCAGGAATCTAGAAAGCAAGTCCGCAGAAGTCCTTGGCAGAAGAGGGGCACAGAGGCTCTCGGTTCAGGACAGACAGGGAAACACGGTCCAGAAATCTGAGCTACAAGAGTTTAGGGATGTGGAGCAATGAACTGCACAGTTCACTCGGTGCCTTCAGCAATTTAGGATGATTCCCCTGGAGACCTGGGAGCAGCGGTACAGGAAGATGGCGGGGGAGGAAGTGGCCAGATCGGATCGGAACTCAAGTTCAGCTAGGAGTCTGTCTATCAGAGGAGCTAAGGATAGTTTCTCTAACATTTTATAGAAAACCGAAAGCACCAAGAAGTTGTAAGATCTGCCAGGGAGGCCCATAGCCCCAGCATTCGGGCCCCCCAAAAGTTGGTGCATCCGCAAGGCAGAAGGTGAGATCTTCTGTAACAACAGGGTAGGGAGTGAAGAGGAAGGGATCCCGGGTCAGTGCAAGGCCACAGACGCAGCTGCCAGAGAGGGAAAAGGCAGAGAGCAAGAGGAAAGGAGTCACAGTTGCCAGAGCAAGGGTGCTGTCCTTCCAGAAGGAGGGGGCCAGGGCCAGGGAGGTAGCTCGGCATCTGCCTGGAAACGAAGGGAGTCGGGTATGAGGTCCCAGTACCACATTAGAGTAAGCGCTGAGCGGGCCACTGAAACCAGGCATGGTAACACAGGCCGGTAATCCCAACAATGGGGAGGATGAGACAGGAGGATCACTGGAGTCTGGGCTGCATAGTGAGACCCTGTACCAAATAAATAAATAAAAGATTATTTTTTAATTAAAAAAAGGAGGTGGCCAGTGCTGTGAACAGGACAGAAGGCACCAATGTGCCCACTTAGGGTGCTTCGAATTCACAGGCCTCCCCCGACCCAGGTACTGGGGATTGAACCCAGAGCCTGTGTGCTGCGCTACATCCCAGCCCTTTTCATTTTGTTTTTGGTTTTTTGAGACTGACCACGTAGTTCAGGCTACACTCAATTCACTACATATGTAGCCCAGGCTGGCCTTGAACTCACAGCAATGCTCCTGCCACAGTCTCCTGGGTTAGGCTGTTTCCGTAGTGTAGTGGTGTAGTGGTTGTCACATTCGCCTGACATAGTCTCTTGGGTTTTGGGATTACAGTCGAGTGCCACTAGACCTGGCTTCATCTTAGCCTTTTTATTTTTTCTCAGCCCT